ATTTCAAATTAATATTGCATATTAATCCACTATTAAGTAATTAACAATGTCATAGGATTTCCTAGCGAGGGTCTGAAATTAAATGAATTTTCACATTAATATTCTCATTATCCCTAATGCAGAATCAGCCAGAATTTGTCCTACACAATACCCTTTTGTATTATTCATTTTGTTACTGTTGTCAGACCAAATGACCAAAAAGCCTTATTTTACAACCATAAAATTTTTATGGAAATCTTTAAAGAATTGAGATTGAGTCAATAATGCAGTCCACAGTTTTCCTTTTGTTTTATTTTCTGACTACATTCTTATTTTTCCTTTTCGTTTAAATAAAATCCAATGAAATTCTACTAAGCTGAATAGGATTCCTGCTTCTGAAGTCCAGTTCCGACATTCATCGTGAAAAATTTTAGCGGTCTCCGGCTTACGTTTACGTAAATATGCGCCTGCGAATAATGTGCACGAAACAAGTATTTACGACATTTTTCTGCATAAAAGTCAGCTTTATGTTACTAAAAGCACAGTTTGGCATTTTAGTATTTAAACAAGTAGGTAACGTAGGAGATTTTTATTGTACTACTATGTTGCACTACCGTAAATAATAATTCTTTCAATGGATACCTATCTAATTGAGCCTTTTTGTTTTTATTCTCCAGCTAGTAAAGAAAATTGGCTTGTTAAAGTTTATTGCAAAAATTTTCGTATATATTATTTTGCAACAACATTAACAACAAATGAAAATTAAATAATAAAAGAAGTGGTGTTCATAAACTAAACTGCAAAGAGTGCGACACAATCAATGTACATCGGCTAAACCGGTAGTCCTTTAGAGAATAGGTTTAAAGAACACTTAGTATAAAAAATGAAACACTCGCTATCGGTTTAGCGAAGAACTGCTAACTACAAAATCGAAATACATATGTTCATATGGAAATTAATTTAAACTTCGCCATTTCCAGCCCAAAAGTGAAAATCTAACTTGAATTTTTAAAAATAAAAAGGACTTTTTTGAATTTGCAACTTTTAAGAGAGTTCCAAAGTTTATGCAATATTGTTTTTGATGATAGCTTTTTCGCTGAAACCATCTGCATAATGTAGTTGGAGAGCTTTTGCATATTAAGACATACTCCATTATTTTGTACACATTCTCAAATTTAAATTTAATTAATGAAAAACAATTTAACGATCTGTATGAGTTATAAACAGAACAAACAAGTACAGGTTGACACAAATAGGAAGAAGTGTGAATTGTTTCCGCCTAAGCCTGCGCGGTAAACTGAATGTTTGTGGAAGCGAGGGAAGCCACTTCTATTCGACCGTTTGGCTAGATATCATTCGGGAGCACCACAATTACTTCTGTGGGTTCTTGCTATTTGCGTGTTTTTATTGCTTTTGCTATTGTTATTGATTTTACTGGTGTTATTACAGTTCGCTCTCTTGAATCCATGTGCTTTTCTTTTGTTTCATTGCGAGCTGCAGTATTCAATTATTTTAAAACAGTCGACAATTTGGTTAGTAATTCATGTGGGTTCCTTCTTAATGTTTAAATCCTATTGATTCTACCGCCCTTCTTCCTCCGAATACTTTCTGTCTTTCTGTCGCGCTTAAACGTTGCTAATTGAAAATTCTTCCTATTTTTGTCAAGCTGTACCTTGTTTCTATTCTCTAGCTTGACTAAAATATTTGCAGCGTGTTGGGAGTCAATTCATTTCTACATTAGCAAGTGAAGTCTATTGTTTATATCCTTTATAAGGAACTGTTT